TACACACCTCCCTTCACATTTACATTTTAATTTACATTAAAGTATTTCGTGAGGCCTTCTAAAATGTTTTTAAATATAATTAGGGTTTTAGTTGAAGAGTTTGTAAATTATTGCGTTGCACAACAGCACGTCCATTAATTCCACAACCACACACATGGATTAACATCGATTTAATACATTAATGTAGCCTTTGTTTCTGCTAAAAGAGGGGCAACAAGAAAATTGGCGAAATCGAGTGTGACTATTAAAAAATAAATAATTATTATATTAATATTGACAATAACAACCGACCGTCGGGGAGCGTTCTCATGGCGTCTATTATCAACGCTATGGGAGGTTTATGAAGGTCTATGGGACGCCCTGCCCGTCAGGGCCGGCCCTCGGCATAGGCAGTATAGGCGAATGCTAAGGGGGCATCAACCCATAGGGGGCGCCGAATTATTTTTTTAAATTTCATAACAAAACAATTTCCCGATTTTGGATCAACAAAGTAGCCTACATCTTATTATCAGATACTAACAGAACCACACCTATATTGCCAAGCCCGCCTTATCCTGCCATCAGGCCCTGGGGCTGATAGGTTTTGTAGGCCCCCTATTTAAACAACAAATCAAAGTCATTTATAGCATCGGCAGGCTCTGTGATCGCACTTCTCCACTCTGCTCTACGCGCGCCTGGTCCTCTCCTCCAGATGAGTGACGTATCGGGCCTCCCTCATGTATTTGTCCGGTTGCCGTTGGCTCCCCTCCACGTAGCAAGTCCTCGTCGTCCTCCCCATCTCCTCCAACAGATAATGTCCCTCCTGTCTGTTTTTCCTCTCCCGCTACTCCATCGCTATCAGAACCAGACGGCCTACTTGGCTCAGAGGCCCCGCGGCCGGCACCGCTGCCGCTCGGTACAGAACTAATCTGTCCTTCCTCCTGATCCTGGCCTACAGGTTTAAAATAACCTGTAAGCTTCGATATGTTTTGTAATAGCTGCTTGTCTCGAAACTCCTTTTCCCTCAACAATTTCCTTTTCCGAGGGCCACTCTCAAACTTTTTCTTCTCCAACATTTTCTCCTAAACAACCTTCATCTGTCACTCAATCACTCGCAATTTGAATAAGTCACATGTGAAACATGTTCTCATTCTGATTGGCTGTTAAGTGGTGCCCACGGACTGTTACGGAGTCATCTCTGGAATCCATCGATCTGATTGATTAGCGGAGCAAATGATCAAAAAGATATTTTCGTTTGGATTACTGGTCTGGGGGAAGCTCACGAGTGTGTGTGTGTGTGTGTGTGTGTGTGTGTGTGTGTGTGTGTGTGTGTGTGTGTGTGTGTGTGTGTGTGTGTGTGTGTGTGTGTGTGTGTGTGTGTGTGTGTGTGTGTGTGTGTGTGTTGTGTGTGTGTGTGTGTGTGCGTTTGTGTGTATTGTGTTTGTTTCCCGGGGAAAACACTCACGAGAAACACCGGCTGTTGTTATGCCTGCTGTGACGTTAAGTTACTCCGTTCTCCGCTTGTAATTATGCCGTTACAACTTCAAAGTTGTATTTATTATCTGAATTTGCCGAAACAAGTTTAATATTCTGAAAGCCAAGACTTTGTTTAATTGAAACCAGATTAAAACAAACTGTAACGGACCCTGCCGTGTTATCTATGATTACTATACTCTTACATTCATAATTTCAGCGGAGGGAGGGGGACAACAGAACAGCAGAGTGGCGAGGGAGAGCTGTATTCTTCCCTTTACAAGCTTCAAAAATGTATTTATCGTGTGATTTTGGAAATAAAAGTTTCATATTCTGAAAGCCAAGACTTTGTTTATTTAAATAAAATTAAAAACGTGCGAAATAAAAAAAAAACCTTTTTTTTTATTCGCTCATGATAGGCCCCTGATCTCCGTAGGCCCCTGGGCTTCAGCCCAGGTCAGCCCGTGCATTAAGGCGGCCCTGTATATTGCGTACAGCGTCCATAAACTATGGCACACACCCCCCCCCCCCCCCCCCCCGCCAAAATCAAGTTATTATATTTTTAAAAAATGTGCCAAGCTATTTAGGAACCTATCCATGTGAACATATTTTAAGTGGAGGTGGACCTCAGATCTTCTAGGGGGGTCCGGGGGCATGGTCCCCCGGTAAGATTATTTTTTTAAATGTTGGACTTAAATGCATCAATCTGGTGCATTTTGAAACAGAACTGTATACATTTAAATAATCATAAGAACATGGCCATAACCAATAACATCCCATATCCAATATGAAAAAACATTGAATCTTGTTTATTTATTTGTTTTTGGTTCATTGATAGTTGTGAGTGTGTCTGGGTTCCTGAACCAGCCTCTCCTGTCTCCCTCCCCCCGCTCCTCTTTGAGGCAGCAGCAAAGACTAGTTTTAGCTCTCAACAAGTTTTTAAAGTTTATCTTACCTTTTGTACATTTCTTATATTACTTTATATGGTAAAACCAAATGATGATATTATGCTTAGAAACTGTTTGGTCAACTCGACCTGTTGTACCACACGGTAGCTTCCTGCCAAGGTCGTACCTGGAGAATGCGGCTCTCCCTATGAGAGCATTGTAAGATAACAGTCAGGAGAAAGTCTTATCTCTTTTCCTTTCTGCACAGCAACAGTCATCTATAAAACACACACACACACACACACACACACATTATACCATGTGCACACTCCTGCAGACTATACTCTGTGAGACCTGTGCCTTTGAAGCTTCAAATAAATAACCAACAAGACAACGCTGTTTACTTTCACCAGTTTATTATTGATTACTTTAATTGTACATCTTTGCAGTATTGACGAGTCTAAAATATCCACAACACTTTTTTCACCTAGTTAAAATGTTTTTGTTATTATTCATGCCTATTTTACTAATCACTCCCCCCTCAAATGGAAATATGTGTTTACATAAATGGTGACCAAACCGTTTGAGACCCACAGAGAACTTAGACTATGTTAACTATCTAAACACTCAGAGAGTCCTTTACCTGACCTCAGCTGTAGTTATCAATCTCTCAGTCTGACAGGAGAGGACTCTCCTCCACCTTGTTGACAGCTCATTATATATCCGTTAGCGCAGCTAGCTAGCACCAGATGCTAACAACAACAATACACGTAACCGGTGCGCGCGCTTTCTCTCTCACTCGCGCCACACACACACACCCTCCCTGAGCTTGAATGACACACAGAGACCAATCGAGGGCATTAGTATGATCTGTATGAAAGTGGCCATGTCGGCAGACCACATCATGTAGACAGCCAGTCACCCTCTGTAAGGCACAGTCAGACCCACATTTGCACAGCGTTGCGTTCACAATACATACATAAATAAAATAAAAATCCTCAGGCCACTTAGCAGGCCAGGCCAGGCCATCGGGAAACCTCCTGGTCCTCCCGATGGCCAGTCCGGGCCTGGCACAAACACACACCTTATTACTTAGCTACAGGTGATCACACTACTGGCATCAGTCCATATCAGCTAGCAGACATGAGACACTCGTCATCTAACAGGTAAAACTACAACAGTGGTGATATACTGAAGAACTAAGTACAATCCGCAAGTACTATTTTGACATACTTAGTAAAAGACTTAATTCAGAATCAGATTCAAAATCCTTTATTCGTCCCACATCGGGGAAGTTAACAATAAAAAAATTAAGAGATTAGTTGAGTTACATGTCAAAGAAAGAGACAAGCACACATTAGTTAAACAAAATCAAATAAGTACACATCCATGGTAACAAAAGTAAGTGTTGGAGCTATACATTCCTTTATATTATTTAATAGTTACACATATATGTTCTTGCTGTTCTTGCTCATAGTAAATGTATTATTATTTATTGTTATTATTAATTAAAGTAGTAGGCATCTTTGGGCACTGGGTGATTTGGGCACCTGGTATAATTGTATATGTTGGAGACAGGTGATGGCGGGAGTAGAGCAACAGCAGGCATATGTTTTTTACTAAAGGGAAATCACAAGGAGGCCTAATGAGAGTCGCAGGGCATCATTATATGAAGGAAACCTGTTTATTGTATTTTGTTCATATTGGTAATAAATGAAAATAAACGCACAAACGGATATTCTTTTCTGGACTTGGATCATTCCCATGCGTAAGATTCGCTCTCTGGTGCCTCAGCGTCAGTTTCACTTTTAAGGTTAACTTTCAGTTGTATTTTTGTACGATTTTGGCCGCTACAGTACGTATGAGTACTCGAAAAATTAATTAAAGCATTACCGGTTTAATCAGGATTCTGTTTTGAGACCAGTTCAAGTTTTTTTAATGGCAGCACATCATGTACATTTAAATAAAACACCCGTAATTCAATGAGAGTAGAGATCTAGATAGACACAAATGGGGTGAAGCCTGCGAGCTAGTTCAGGCAGTCAACTCGAGCATCAATGATACATTAAGACGTGACGCACCTCGTCCCTCTTACAACCACCCAAACACATTCTCCTAAACATGCCGCTCTATTTAAGCTGCCAGGTCTTCCTGCCTCTGCCTCGCTATGCTGCCACTGCTGTGTTCACTTGCTATTGCTACGTTCATGTTCCTGCTGCTGCCACTGCTATGTTCACTTGCTATTGCTACGTTCATGTTCATGCTGCCGCCTCTGTGTTTCATGTTCCTGCTGCTCGCCTGCCCCACCACCACCCCAGCTCCCACCTGTAGGCTCTGGGGATAGTTATCTAATCATCACTCAATGTTCTTTGTAAATCTGTGGAGTGATGAGGCCCGAGCCTAGATGCCAAACTCAAACTACATGCTGCTTATAATAAACATATTAAGAAACACGTGAGTTGTCTGACTGAACTAGTATATGAAAAAAAAACGTATTTTGACTTTACAACATTTTAGAAACAGGTCACGTTTGACCCGAGTACAACAGAAAGGTTAATCATCTTTGTAATATCTTATAGGATTGACTCGACTGCATTGTGTGAGCTGTTGAATCTGATTCCCTCTTATTGTCCGTCTTCTTTTCATCCGCTTCTCCCTCAGGACCTCATTGTGGATCAGACCATAGAGAAGGTTTCGTTCTGCGCCCCCGATCGCAATTACGACAAGGCTTTCTCCTACATATGCAGAGACGGCACCACCCGGCGCTGGATGTGCCACTGCTTCATGGCGCTCAAAGACTCGGTGAGCAGACCATTCATTATCTGCACCTTAGAGATTTTCATTATAGTAGTAGCAAAAGTACAGCTAACTTCCGAAATCTTTTATTCAGCTTTTCTTTCATCGGCACGTCTGAAAGTTAAATGTGTGCCAAGGGTTTTCTGTCCATATTTAGACAATCTGGTTTAGGGTTTAGGGTTATTGCCATGTAGATTTACACATACAATGAATATGCTTTGGTGTATAATGTTGCATACATAAACACTATAAGAGGAATTAAGTATTACAAAAGTAAGTTAACTATTGTCAAATTTAGAAAATTATAAACTCATGTTAACAAGAAATAAGTTCTGAAAGTTGTGGTTAGGTTTTATAAATATGTGTTTAATTTAATTTAATCAATTAGTACATGTATCAATTTATTATTTAAAGGTCACCTATCATGCTATTTTTAGGCAATAGCATAGGTCTCAGATATATAAAAAACATGTCTATGAAGTGTTTTGCTCGAAATACCAAACAGATCACCCATTCTAGCCATGCCTCATATCCCTCTATTTCACTTCCTGTTTCAAAAGTGCTGATTTGGGGATATTAAGCTTTAAAATTAAAAAAGAAAGGAGGGGTCTGAGCTCATGCGGGACCCGGCAGCTACTGTCTAAACTAAATGCTGCCGTGATGAAACGCCATATCATGGATTATCAAGGATCTGAAACAGTATGGAGCTCAAAGGCTTTCTCTCTTGCCGGTTATACCACAAGGTGAGTTCCTTTTTACTTCCTGCTTCTTCACACACATGCTCTCCAGTACAGGTTAGCTCTGAGTGTTAGCGATGCTAATGTAAACACCGACCATATTACGTCCAAAACAGTGGGGCATTGTTTCTGATAGCAACGTTTCTGATAGTGCTGTGGGTCCGATGTTACGTCATATCGGACGCAAATCTGGATCAGCTCCGTTGTAGCCCCGTTTTTAGAGATTTGGGTACGGAGGAAAAGAGAGAGGGTTTTATTTTCTGACGCTGCGTGAGTTCCCCGACACACCGGGAACACATGTTTATGTATAAAAGACATCAAAAAGTGCATTTTGCATGATAGGTCCCCTTTAAGACATTTTTGAAGGGAAAAAAATGCAAATAAATTGTTTTCTTTAAGCTTTTAAAATGTAAGGATTTTGTAAAGTTTGATATAAATATTAGGTTAATAGCTTTAGACCTAGTCATTATCTTTGACTCATGGGATATTAATGGGCATATTCACATTTATGTTGACATGTTATAGCCAAATAAAAAGTCAGTTCATAGAAATAGATAAATCAGTAGTTAGATTAATCATAAGGTTCAGTTCTGACATAATTAGTCCGGCAGTGGCTCAGTCAGTAGGGGCTTGGACTGGGAGCTGTAGGGTTGCCGGTTCAAGTCCCCGAACAGACCTAAATATGGAGTGTGGAGCAAGGCACCGGACACCCCCCTTCCCCCCCACTCCCATTGCTCTCCGGGCGCTGTGCAATAGCTGCCCACTGCTCCTAGTACTAGACTCCTGTTACTAGGACGGGTTAAAAGCAGAGAACACATTACACTGTGTGCTCTGCATGTGTGACCATTAAAGAGGGGTTCATCCCTCTGATTCTATCTTCTAATTCTGTGTAACATATAATAAAGTATTTCAATCACTGCAGTCAGCGTGTCGTTGTGTCCTTGGGCAAGGCACTTGCCAAATTGCTCCTGATAGCCCACAGTGCTGAATGTATGTAAGACGCTATGGATAAAAGCGTCTAACAGGTGTAATGTAATGTAATGTAGCAAGGCACATTTATTTACATAGCACTTTTCAATTTCTAACAACAGAGGGTGCTACATAACACACGGAAAAGTCTGGACTTGAGTATTTTGTTGAAAAACAGTTACATACAATCAAGAAACAGCTGCGGGTAAAATGTACTCGTTGACGGTTCTAGTGTTAAATTCCCAGAATTAGGATATTTACCCTGTTTTAAGACTTCCCTCGTGTATCTTTGGCCTTTAAACCACCGCTAGAGTCTCTGTGTTTTTCAGCTAGCGTGATTTTTAACCTCTGGAGTTTCCATGTGACCTTGGGATGAGGAGGTTGTAAGTTTAAGACAGCAGTGATGGAGAGACACTGTCATGGCGCGCTGAGGTTTCAATCCTGCAGTTTTTCATCAGCTTACACTGCATGCGGGTTGGATTATTGATGCGGATGGCAGAGAGCAGACCTGCAGGATTAGGAGAGGGATTAGACAGAAGCCTGTGGAGTTATCTGTCCATCTCTGTCTGTCTCTACTTCCCCCACACTCTGCATATCTCTTTATGCTCATCTTACACACAACTGTCTCCAATAGTGGCCGTCTATAGAGAGAGGTGGTGGGAAAGTGGAATTAATTACAAAAGGCAGGAAGTAGTTTCATACGTCGCTAGGGAGCATGTTGACGTTTGACAATGGTTGAAGTTATTTGCACCCTTATCCAATCTTTAAAGCTGTATTTTGAAATGAACAACATCACACGTGTTGCTATACTCTTAAAAAAAGCCGTTATAATTAAGACAGCGTTACCCTAATTCTGCTTTTGTTTCAAATCAATGCAGGTTAAGTGGAGATTATAGACTGAATGTGCTACAAATACAAATATAGTATATTTTAACATTGTTTTAATATTGTCTGCTTATCTGTATTATTGTGTTGCATTATTGGAGAAGCCTGTGACCTAAGATTTCAACGACATAATTACTCTGTAGCTATGTTAGTTTGACAATAAAGAACCTTGAACAAAGGGGTAGTCAATGGCCAACAGTCCCGCCCCACTTTCTACCAAACCCATTATAAAACTCAGTCATCATTTTGATCTTAACTAGACATCTTTAACGTTTTGGGACTGTATCTTGCATGGAAGATTAGATCCGATGCTTCTTATTGTTGTATATATGTTGCGACGCTATCATGGCGACAAAATCAGTCTACAGATAGTATTATAAACCCCTGGCAAAAAACATGAAAATCAGCCCTTTGGCAAAAAAGAAAATCACATTAAATCGCTCTATTTCCCCCATTCACAATATCTCTTAAAGGGGCCCTTTAATGCCCATTCCAGGTTCATATTTGTACTTTGTGCATCTACTGTGACATGATTACATGCTGAAAAACTTCTTTATTAATGTGACCTATTTGTTATATCTTACATCCTATAGCCAATAGAAGAGAGAGTGTTACATAGTGCTGTCAATATGTTCCAGAAGTAAATATAGGAGTCCAAAGGAGGCGTTTCAGGCATGTGTGTGGGAGAGAAACACATTGGATTTTAACCTTTGAACACCATTTACATGCACAAAAACCTATTTAGCACACTAAGGGAAAGAGAAAACAGCACACCTTTAAGACTTTAGTTCTAAAAAATGTAAGTTGTATAAAAACACCCCGGGAAATATGGCTAGTTTGCCTATTTATAGCATCTGGACTGGGAAATAAGCTATATACCAACACCTTTGCCTCCTGGTGTAGATGTGATTTTCAAACTGCTTTCTTTCTGCTCCTCCAGGGGGAGAGACTGAGCCACGCGGTCGGCTGTGCCTTCGCCGCCTGTCTGGAGAGGAAGCAGCGCCGCGAGAAGGAGTGCGGCGTCACGGCTTCGTTTGACGCCAGCCGCACATCGTTCGTTCGTGAGGGATCGTTCCGCTCAAACCCAACCTGCCAGCAGAGCAGCGACAGAGAGGACAAGCTGCAGGACAAGAGGAAAGGTAAATACATCCATCAAACTGTAATCATTCATCAGAGAGATATCTGGGAGGTTGAAGATGTTGCTCTGTTGGAGGAGCCTGTGACTTACGTTTTTCATTGCCATATCTAGACTGTAGCTAATGTGCACATGACAATAAAGCCTTGAGTCTTGATATTAACTGGCTGATGCACAAGGTTTATATTAGACAACAATATTAACTAACACTAATTAACATTTTAGTTAATTGTTCTAGAGTTGTTTGGTCCATATTTATATCCACTTGATTTCAAGTTTCCTTTTTAATTAGCTCAAATGAGATGGGAGGCTTTTCCTTGCAAATACAAAATAATTCAACATGGATTACTGCAAACTCAATTCCCCAAATACTGTAGTTTTCAAGACAAAGATGTCAATAAACTTTACGGCTGCCTGTAAGAAGGCATTTCAAAGTGAGTCGACTCTTGGTTTAGCTTAAGTGCAGCATGTATGTATATGTGTATGTATACAGCAAATGTGTATGTGTAGGTTGCAAGTGCGTATATGCATTTGTTTTACATGCATACACTCATCCAACAATATGTCTGGCATATATATTGTGTGTAAGGTTCACTGGCAGGGATTACTTTAGTCATTGTTTGTCTGTTTGCATTGGCATATATTATGTTTACCATTACTATATGACAAACACTGCTTATTGATTGTCGAAACTATATAAAAAGATTTTTGATTTGAAAAGAGTCGACCCTTAAATGCTAGTTAGCGAGCACATACAGAGCAAACTCCTCCAGCGTCACAGCAAGAATGCATTCAAAAAGTGGATTTTCAAGTAGTAATAATATAATAATAATAATCTTTATTTGTCTAGCAGCTTTCATACAATCAGTGCAGTTCAAAGTGCTTCACATAGACATTTCACAGAAAATTGATCTCACACAGAATACAGTTACCAGCATAGAGTAGACGTGTAAAAAATACATTTAATGCACCCTCCTCTCCCTCCAGACCAACTTTACTGCTGCCTGTCACAAGGCATCTCAGAGTGTGTACAAAGAGTCCACCCTTAAATGCTAAAACCAAGCACATATATAAACAAACTCCCTCCAGCGTCTTACAGTAGCAAGAATGCATTCAAAAGTAGATTTTCCAACAGTAATGCACCCTCCTCCTCTCCCTCCAGACCAGCCCTCCTCTGTCATGCCGACCCCCGCCCCTGGCTCCGCCTCCCCTCCCGAGGGTGAGGAGTACCCGATGGACCGGTCAGAGCCCGGGGGGCCGCGGGCGATCCCTCGCCGCCACGCGCCCATCGAGCAGCTGGTGCGGCAGGGGTCCTTCCGGGGGTTTCCGGCCCTCAGCCAGAAAAACTCCCCCTTCAAACGGCAGCTGTCGCTCCGCCTCAACGACCTGCCGTCAACGCTGCAGCGCAAGACCGACTACCAGGACAAGAACCCTGGTGAGTGGAGAACTTACACTCACAAGTGATGATGCTGAAGGGACATGCTCACCTTCTGACCCTGGTCAATAATAATACGCTTTATTTGTATAGTCAACTTCATTTTCAATCTTTCAGTTTGTGAGTACAGTCAGAGAGATCGAAATACCGTTTCCCACAATCCCGAATACAAAAACAAATATATATACAAATATGTATAAAAGTATGTATACATCTATACTGTATATACACAATTAAAGCTCAAAAGTGCTCTAATAACATGGCATCACAAGTTACAGCTAAAATCAAAAAATGCACTTTGGGTCAAACGTTTAAAACCTTTTTGAACACATGCATCATAAACAACATCTAAAACTTGTGTATGGTTAGTTGCTGCTGTGACCGCTGGAACAACATTAATCTGAACTGGATTCGATGAAGGATGATTAAGGAGGATACTTGGTCTTTTTATTTCAGCTCAAAGAAGGAGTGCTAATTTTCCTTTAAAAGTATAAAAGGCATCCCTAAACTTAACATGATTTAATTTCAGCTGACCCTTATGAAATGTATATAAAGAAACAAAACAAGTCAGAGTAGATTAGTTCTCAACAGTCCTTTTGCTACTTCTTAATAATTCAACTTTATAACAATTCAATCTTGTATTCTTCACAGAAATGTATGAAATCCTGAGGAATTGGCCGAGCAATAGTATTTGAAGTTGTCTTACAAAACTTAAAATCAAAAAGCCTGACGCTTTGGCGACCCCTTGTGGGGGTTGGGACCCTCGTGTTCAGAACCAGTGTTAAAGCATCTGTTTAAGTTGTATTTTTATATATGATTTTAGACCATTATGGGAACACGCTGGATTGGCAGCAGTTTTCCCACACCAGACTGACACCTTTTAAAGTTGCTAATTATATTCATCACACATGCAACTGGAGAAATGCATTTACACACAAACAGCATATTTTAACAGAGGACCCTAAATGATGCACAAGGCTATTATTAGACAACATAATAATAGCGATGACAACAATCATCGCCATGGTCTGGTGTCTAGAGGGGATGAATCTATTTACACAACCAAAATGCCCTTAGGGTACCTGAAGTTAAATCAGTTGGGATCCTTTCCCTCGCAAATGCAAAACAACAATATTTTTTGCAAACTCAAATCCCCAAATAGTTTCCAGGAGGAAGACGTCACGGAGCATTACGCTGCCTCAGCACACAAACAGAAACACACATGTGGGATTCTGTGCTCCACTTGCGTCATGTTTGTTTGCCGACTCGAGCCCTATTACATTTTCCACTTCGCACCACTGAGGAGGTATGAGCAAACAGAATAAACCTTCAACCGTGTTCAACTTAACCCCAATGCCTGCCCTCTATTGAGGTGGTGCCATCATTGTAATTAGCACCAGCTCTGCATGGCTATTCCTGTGTGACTGACAGCTCTTTTTTCACTAAGGACAATTAGTAATACCTCTCACAGGTACACACACACCCCCTCAGTGTGTGATTATAGTCATTAAGAGAGATGAGACTCTTCTGACTAGAATACTAAACCACAACATTCAACTCCCACTCTCATATTCGCTGCTGTCATTTCCGTCTCTACTTCTCCCGTGATGGTTAGTTTATATATATATATCCAGTGGTGGTGCAGTGTGTATCCTAATGTGCTCTCTCTTTCACACACACTCTCTCACACACACACACACACACACACACACACACACACACACACACACACACACACACACACACACACCACACACACACACACAACACACACACACACACACACACACACACACACACACACACACACACACACACACACACACGGCTCCCTTGTGACTCTCTGAACAGTGTGTGTATTGATTTGTGCGGTCAATCAGCCATCCTGGTTAGCCTTCAGCAAGCAAACCCTCAACCTGCAACTGAACTGAGCAAAACACACACACACACACACACACACACACACACACACACACACATACCATGTATACATCACTTCAGGGGACATTACATTGACTTACATGCATTTCCTGGAGACTTATCCTAACCTTAACCATAACCAAGTCTTCACCCTAAAATTAATGATTCCCCTTATGGGGACCTCCATTACGTGACTGTGTAAACAGATGTAGGTCCCCACAAGGATAGTAATGCTAGGCCACACACACACACACACACACAGACACACACACACACACACACACACACACATATAGGCATTTGAAGTGCATCTGAACTCTGCAGGACATTGACAGGAACAGGGAGAGAGAGGCATCACTGGGCCCATAGAAATCTTTAATGAGAGACCGTGCTCATGCCTCAGCGTCCTCTACACTCTCAGATATAATCCAAGGTCTACTACACAATGTCCATCCCTTATACCTCCTCTGCCTTAGACTCCTTTGTTTACGTAGTGACATCAATATGTAACACTCCCGCTTCTATTGGCTAGCGCTCAAACACATTGTAGGCCCTACTTGAAATGCTAAGGCGCGACACATTTCCAAGCGGTTGACCAATCACAACAGAGCCAGCCAGCTAACCAATCACAGAGCTGGCCAGGGCTCTGGTTTCAGACGGAGGGTGAAAAGAGGTGCTGCAGCACAGGCAGTATGAGAAAAATAAAGAGCTTTTTGAACATTAAAGCACGGAGACATGTCCCAGTAGAGACACTAAAAACTCAAATGAACCTGAACATGAGTTAAATAGGTCCCTTTTTAATGCTGTTGCCACTACTCTGATCATGGGTCACATTGCCCTCTATGTTAAGGTCTATTGTTTAATTAAAAATATGGGATTTCCATTTGTTCTATAATAGCATAAATACCATAATAGCATAAATACCTGGACCTGGGTATACATTTGAAACTACTCAACGCCTCTACGTTAAATTCTCTGCATATGCATGATATATAATGTAACCACAAGGTGAAAACAGATCATCATTAGACTCCTCGTTGTCAAGTGTGTTCAACAACTCTGCGCGATAAGCATAGATGGAGGCAGCTGAAGAGGAAGTTTGAAGGAGAAGACCGTTGATAAATCCTCTGTCTCCTAGGCCCTCGTTGTGAAGCGAGGGCCTCGGAGTCAATGAACGGGGAATTAGATATGATATCTATTTATATCTGCGGTCTGTGCAGGAGAGGTTTTAAAGATGTAAGTCAGACGGGAACATGATGCCGTCTATAATCCCCTCGCTGGGCGGATCAGTTACAGTTGGTTTAAAAGCGTGGATAAGCTGAGCCAAATCCACCTTTGTCTGAAACACAAAGCAATGACATAACAGGCTGAAATTAAATACATCGGCCGTTCACACAGTTCCTCCTGGCCTGCATACATCTGTGACTAAGTGTCACCGTTTTATTTTTAGTAAGAAGGTCCAGATTACAGTGTCTTGAAAACTGTTTGGCAAAATGATAAAATATCTTCCTCTCCTTCTCTCTGTTTGTTTGTCCCTCTTTTTTAATCATCTTCATCCCCTATTCTGCTTCTTCTTTTTCATTATCTCCATTATCTTTCTCCAGAGATGAACCTGGGGTTGCAGGATGATGACGACGGCACCATCAACGCTCTCTGCAGCCAGATCAACAACTCCTTCACCAATCCAGCAGAGGAGATGTTCCACAACCCCTGCTTCTCTTCAAACGGCCCTCCAGCCTGCACCGTGCCCCCCGCCCTGCCCCCACCACCGGGAACCCTGCAGGGTAAGAAAGGCTGCATAAGTCACATTCTTTCTAAATATTGCACACTCTTGGGCAATTTCACAAAAATAGATTGCAGCCACTGATGGCACCTTGAGTTGACACTCTCTGCCTGTGTCAAGGTCTTATTCTCTACTAGTTTCTGGCTTTTTTATATATATATATTTAGGTGAGATTTCTTCATTATTCTAAGGACAAAACATTGCAACCTGTCACCACAACACACACACAATAAATATACCTAAGCAGGGTATATGCAGGAATCCTGAAGTCGAATGTAACACCCTTTAAGACCCTTTCCATACATTTTAAGACCTCATCGACACTTGGAGTTTTAACCGGTTACCTTGGCGACACACTCTACCTCACATTGACTATATACAGTATTGATTGTCCTTCCTCCTTATCTTCCAACCATTTGGACGCAGACTTGCATTTCCCCATAACGACGTTGTTTAACAACCGGCGTAAACGGACCATCGCGCTATCAAGCAGTGAGCGCGCGATGTCCTGTTCAGATGACGTCAAACCCAACGGGATGCCATCAATAAACTACACAGAATCACACTACACACCTACGCAATGATTACATTCAGGCAGACTGTAGAATACAACCTCTTTGGACAATTTATATACTTATTGAAAACAAGCTACAAAATGTAATACCTTGGAAAATGCCGTTCAATACTTTTTAATAGCCTTCATTTTCGCTAAATTGATTTATCAACTTGTAATACTTTTTAAGACTCAGCGGACACCCTGCTAAGTAAAAAGATTGCATTTTTTACTTTGATGAGGGTCATCACATCAACATTTTATAATTTTGCAGCAAATGTCTGCATATAACCGTAATAAAATATGTGCGAATTGCACAGGAGCACCAAGACACTATTTCATTGGCAGTAGTTTCAGCCTTTGCAGGTCTTTTGAGTATTTGTCACTGATTTCAAAAGTTAGACCAATCCTTATGTGCACCTTCCTCCAGAGGAACTTTCTCTCCCATTCATCACACTTTTTCTAATTCTTTATAACTGTGTGTCCCTCTAGGTAATCCTTCCTGGGTGCAGCCGGAGCTCCACTCCCCTCCTCCTGTGGCGATGCAGATGCATTGTGGACACCGGCGCACCCCCTCCGAGGCCGAGCGGTGGCTGGAGGAAGTCTCCAAGGCTGTGAAGGCTCAGCAGACCCCTCCTCCAGGCCCCTCCATCCCCATCATCCCCGGAACCCCCTCCATATCTGCTGTGTCCACCATCCCCATGTCCCTTGGCTCCATGTCCAAACCTCTGCTCTCGGGCCCCCCTACTCTCTTAGCTCAGGCACCAATGCCCCTCCCACCCATGTCAATATCATCAGTTCCTCTAATACCCGGCCCTCCAGTATCTGGTCCCCCTATGTCTCTCCCTTCCATGTCCATCCCCACCATGTCCGGTCCCAGTATGTCCGGCGCCTCCATGCTCCAGCCTTCCCTCTCAGGGCTCCCAGGCTCCATGCAGCCCTTCCCCTTGGCTTTTGACACCACCCCCGCTCCGGTGGGGATGTTCGGCTCCCAGCCTGTCCAGCCGGCCTTCCTTCCCATGCAGACGTACATGCCCGGCCTAGCCAGCTCTATGACATATCCCAACGCCAGCGTGCCTGTGGTGGGCATCACTCCGTCACAAATGGTGGCGAACGTCTTCTGCACGGCAACAGGCTCATCAGGTGGAGGTGGAGGTTTATCGATGGGACTGGGAATGACCGGGGTGCACCATTCCTACCCTGGATTACCGGGGTTTTCCACACCACCTTTCTCTCCCACTCCTCCGTTATCATCAGCCCTTAATGGCCTCCCGCCGCACAGCAGCGCCTCCATGGGCCTCCAGAACGGGACGTCCAGCAGCGGGAGCAGCTGGCCTCCAGAGGGCAGCCAGCTGACAGCTCCAGCACCCCAAGAAGATGATCGATTCGAGGCCAAGTGGGCGGCTCTGGAGGCTAAACCTCCGCAGCCGGGGAACAAAGCACCAGCTGCAGCGGCAAACCCCTTCTCCAACAATCTTCAGAAGACTTTTGAGATTGAGCTTTAAGCGAGAGTTGACGTCCCAAAGCTGTAGACCTGGAGTTAGACCTGGAGTTTAAACGGGATGCAGGTCTTAAAGTTAGCCTAGCATCCAATCTGCCCAGCAACCTGCTCAAAGCTCTCATAGGAGTTAATGATATAATGATCTTAATTGCTTTCTTGACACTCCCATGAGAGCTTTGAAGACGTTGGCGCTTTGCTCGGCTGTGATTTGGAGGATCTAGCTCACAAGACTTGAGGGATTGAATCCTCCGCTCCACCCGCTAACCACCTCCCTGCTTTCACTGCTCTACTCCGACTTTACCTTATTGCTGCAAGTCCCTGGATGTACTGTACGTGCCCCCCGCCTGAGGACATTATAGAGGGGCACAACTCAGTGGTTTCTTTCTTAAAAAGCGGGATGCATTCCAAACTCGTGAGATATTTTCTTTCTGGTGGAGATTTTGATGTGCAGAGAAGTGATGCTGAGCACGGAAAGGATTAGCCAATGAAGTAAGACCCGACCCTTCCAGCCCCAAAAGGACTTACTGACTAATAGTAGAGATTTATGGCCAAATTATTTTATTTATTGTATTCATTTTATTTTAACAAGTTATATATACTTTAAAAAAAATCTAAATCTTAAAGCAGTGTTTTTTTTTTTTATCCCATATATTTATTTTAGCTGAGAGGAGGGAAACTACAGGTCGCTTAAAATGTGTGCAAAGCATTGTGGGAGTCATGTGACAGGAACCAAATAGGATGAAGCAGTGTGTGGTGAGACAGTGAGTGTATATAGCGGCATGTTTCTTCCACCTCACGTATATCCACTCCACTGAGGCCCGATGAGTCATTAAAAAACAATACAGCACAACAGACTTCATCTTCTCCAGAAAGGAACTTTAACATCTCAGTGGAAACACAAAAAAACCGATGCACTACTTTACAGCATTCATACTCCTTTTGATATGTTAAAAAAACACAGGGTATAGTCTCATCACGTACAATATGATTGTGTATTCACCTCTGCTGCGTCACTGTTGCATTAGTATTGCACTCATTACAGAGTTTGGGATTGATGAGAAGAGGTAATAAGATAAGAGGAACATGAGCAGAGGCTTGGCAAATGACAGATGTTTTAGATGTGGGATTATTGAAGACATTTGATTGAGTGAGTAACAGAAAGAATAAATTGCTAGAGGTAAAGGAAAGGAAAGGAAAGCCTGCATGTGAGAGATTGAAGGAGGGAATGGAGTCATAACGTTTGAACAAATTGAGATGGGGGAAGTCTGAAGAAAGGAAAATGGGATGAGATATGAAGAAAGAGTGAGAGAGTGTGTGAAAATATTGAGGACAAAGACACATTCATCACACAACCCACGCACTGTCTGCTGTTTCTACATCCTTCTGTCTCAAAGCCAAGCCAAAGCCGCGTTCCTCAGCTCGTAAAAACCTCACAAATTTGATAAATATTTAAAAAGATTATTGCTTATTATATTAATTACAGCCTCATAGTCAAATGTGCAACACCACCAACGGAGCTTTCTGTGTTTTAACTTGCCATTTGAGTCATAAAAGAAAACATGATGAAGCAGAAACTTTATTTATAGACGCAGGTTGTTTCTGTATGTTATGTAGAAAGGGGAAACTGAACAGAGATGCTCCTCCAGAATGTAATTGTGTGGATATGGACTGTCGCTGATTGAGTTTCCTGCTCATTAACTTTGATTGGATTATTCTGTCTCTTCTTCCGGTGGCCGTGATCCTGTCTGGCTGCCTGTCTTTCAGAAACGTAAATGTATGTATCCCAGGAATACTTCATACCATGCCCTGCCTTTGTTTTTTGGATAAAACTATATTGTATCCCCAGCAAAAAACAAAACCAAACTGCATTTTCTTTCAACCCTCCTCTCTCCTCCAAGAGACTCATTGAGACGAAATCAATGCTTTTATTTCATTTTAAAATATATTTTAGACTCGTTTCCACGCCCTCCAAATTATAAATGTAGGTTAATTGTGTTCCGCGTTAAAGCAAACTAAATGACCTCATAAACTTGATTGTAAAACCATAGTTTAGTGATGGTAACAAAGCAAACCAGTGGGATTTATTTTTAATCTTTATTTACAGATTTTTTTGTATTTAAACCTACATATTTGTATTGTAATTACATTGTACAAAAGATAAATAAAGTAATATAATATTACTCCTGTTCCTGTTTTGTAAGTGGTGTTTTTTTGTAGCGTTTCCAGAACTACTGTATTACTTTCTTTCCTGTAACTCTCTCTATCCTTTGCATTTCTTCCTCCTGCCGGCTCTTGTTATTGATCTGGCTCTCCTAACTGTTGGAGACTGTTTCATGCAATACGATAATACTTCAAAATCGACAGATATCGACAAGACACAAGGAAATGGACATTGTTTTGTGAAAAGGTAAAATAATTCTACCTATTGGTGAACTCCATTAAGACTACAACTCCAACGCCTTTAAATAGACAGAGATATCGGCAACCTCTGTCCCAACTGTTTTTAATGTGATCATCCAACAGAAAGACAATCTAATTTTGCTAATCATTTTATCTGAGTTTTGCATCTTCAGTATTTGTTATGACTAATGAAGCTCAGCGTTAGTTCAACCAGGAAGACCGTCTTAACTCATTCATTTACTATTTCCATGTTACTACTCTCTCTCCTCTCAATAAGTGATCGGGGCAGTGGCGTAACTACCGACGGTGCAGCCGGTGCAACGCATTGACCGGTTCACGCAGTCTTCAAAGTAACCAAGCAACCTAAATTAATTTGTAATTTGTCTGTCCAATGACCTTGCTCCCTTTCATGTCATGTGATACCTTGTGTGAGGAGCGAACCGTTTAATCAACCTGTACTGTACTGTAGTTAGCAGCAGCAAGTTCGGCAGCATTATACAACATGTAATAGCTTGCATTTATAATGTAGCCTACAGCAAACCAAAGCACAAGAGCAGCGCTCAAAAGAGAAAGGACAAGAGAAAACAAGGAGATGTAACAGCTAAACTGACAAAATTAGACCGTTTTTTTTGTCATACATCGTCCTCGAAATCGAGCACTAACGTTAGCATTGTTGAAGTGCAGCGGCAGCCGGAGCCGGAGGCTAACGATAGCTCACCTGCCTCACCACCATCATTGCCATGTAGCTCCACAAGTGAAGCTGTATCCGTGGCCATGGCTGTGCAACCTTCTTCTCCAGCCAGCCAGGAGGAGAGGCTGGATTTGGCTGTGCCCGGCGGTGGTCCAACAGTTCCCCCAAGGGCCCCAACTCTATGGCGCTATTGAGACCGCCGACGCCAAGATCAAAAGCTATATTATAGCAACCGGTCTATGTAGGCCCAGAGACAAACATCAAGGAAACAGGTTTAATCCTCTGCTTAGTTCGCTGTGCCGTTGTCAGGCTGTGGTGGTCTAAGGCCAGGACAGGCTGTTGTTGATAGCCTATACATGTGGCGTTTCTGAGTGCTTGTGTATGTCCGTGCGTGTGTGAGCGCATCAGTGTGCGCTTATGTTAAAATAATATTTACACTGGGGCCAATCACAACCTTATTATGCCACTGGATCGGGGGCGTCACTCTCCAGTTTAACCAATCACTTCGCTCTATTCCCAAGAGCCTATCATAGCGCTCTGCTAAACCTTTTAAATGTGCTCTCCCCTCTGACAGCTTTAGTTGTGACTCGACGCAACCCTCCTCACCTCCTGTCCCTCTGAATCCAGGCAGGGTCAAGCTAAGCCCCTCCCCTTCAGACCGAACCCAAAGTTCCATTCACCCACACCAGGGTCAAACTAAGCCCCTCCCCTTCAGACCGAACCCAACTATCCATTCACCACCACCAGGGTCAAGCTAAGCCCCTCCCCTTCAGACCGAACCCAACTATCCATTCACCACCACCAGGGTCAAGCTAAGCCCCTCCCCTTCAGACCGAACCCAACAACTGTCCATTCACCACCACCAGTGTAGAGGGGGGTTTCATCGGATCGGTTCTGCCCTCCCGAATGATACTTCCTGCACAACGGGGCCTAATCGCTAAAATCACAATTACATTCATTTGTGTATCTCTGCAATAAATATGTATTCTTACATCAAAACCGTCTCTCCTGATTGAACTGAATGTGTTTAGAAATAAGCTCTTTTTTTGTACGATTAAAAAGTGGCCGCCATGAATCCAAACTTTCGTGCCCTCCTCAAATATAAGAATAAACTTTTTTTTTTAAACTCCCATAATGTTTGTATCACAGCTGACGGTTTAAATTAACCGGACTTCTTTCTGCGGATTGATACGACTGCACCAAGTCCCTTCGTCACAGCGTCCTACTTAGCAACGATCTGCTATCCTTAGCAACGGTCTGTTAGCAAAAATGATTTGACCTTTGGAATGTCCAAATTGACCAATCAGAATTTAGTTTTCAACGTGTAATAACTTGAAAGATAACGGGTTGGAAATGTGAGTTTTGAAAGACATGTATAGTGACTGAAAACTGCAACACACATCCATAAGTGTCCTTGAGCATTAGGAAACACGCTATACAAATCTTATGTCTTGTTATTATTATAAATTGAGAGCATTTAGGGCAGAGCTGTCAAACGGTTATAAAATGTGAAGCTTGTGTGCATTTCCATCATGTTTAATTCAGCAGGTTGAAAAGATCCCTGGACGTTTTTGAAGCACAGTGCAAGGGTTTAAAGGGCATCACAGTATACGAAAGGAAGGACATTAAGTTGACACCCTTATAACTTTTGTATACCTCCTTTTTTCTCTCCTTTTGTCCGCACCTTACCTCTTTTCTCTCAGATTAATGCATTACTCTCTTTCAGTCATCTGGGGTGGCTGCTGCAGGTCATAATGGAAGCAGAGAAGGCCTCTTTTATTTTAGAGGGTCGTGAGAAAAGGGGCACACACACACACACACACACACACTCTTCAGCAGCAGTAGCAGTAACTCTCACCCTGCCATTGTCCTCTGATCTGAGGACAGTTAGACAGTGTGTGTTTCAGAGGGAAGATCTGCAGAGCTTCATGACTAGTAACAATTCTAGCGGACACACTTGTTTTCTGTATTTCATTCATTCCTTTTCCATCATGCTGCTTATATAAAAGTTAAATCAAAGGCAGTGCTAATGAGGCCAAATTAGATGGTTTCATGTTGCGTAAGTTCTTTGATCAGGGCTGTGTTTGTAGCTTTCTTTCAATATGTTTGTATCAGTTGCTTTGTCAACTTTAGTTATCTTAGGCTCAGTTTACTGCCCGCAGAAAAGCAGCAGCATTAGCGAGGCAGAGATGGCAATTCGTACATCTTAAATAGCGCGCCGGATAAAGGAGAATGTGATTGGTTGGTTGTATGAGAGGTCGAGGCATGTCACGTGTATATCATTGTTGCTCGAGTTGACTGCCTGAACTCCATTGATGAGAAAAGAACACAAGACTTTCAAAGCAATCTATATAATATATTAAAGTAACATGTTTGTGCATTTTATGACAATAATTAGGACATTGACACACTATTAGAGGAGTAACATTTTATTATTTTTCAGACTTTCAGTACATAACTATTTAGATTTTTGTCATCAACATTTTTCAAGTCATCAAAATGATAACCCCTTATTCTCAAAATGTCCTTTTTGGGTACCTTTCTAGTCGTTTCCCATATTTTTGGTACAACATTTGTATCCTTGTTTTGCAGG